AATAATAATAATAATAATAATAATAATAATAATAATAATAATAATAAATAAATAAAAGAAAAAAATAAAAACCAAAACTTGTCTTTAAAAAAAACAAATAAACAACTCTGCTCTGAAACCACTTTGAGGCTCAATGATATTCTACAGAAATAATGCTGTTTTGGGTGGGGTTACATTAATAAGAAGTGGTGTCTAAGGGAGGTTGCTAGATGATGGGGCAGTACCCTTACATTTATTCTATTTAGATTGAAACTCCCATAAGCAGGTTTTCCTCCTGGGGAATTAAACTACTTTAAGAGTAGGCTGTTTGAATTTTTTAAGATATGACCCCATGGCACAGCAACTAAAGCTGATCACCAACTAAAGCGGGTGATTACAACAAGCTCAGAAGCTTCTTCAGAGCAAAGGAAACAGCAATATTCAAAGAAAATGTACAAAATGAGAAAACACTCACAAATGGCACATTGAACAAATCTGACATCCAGAATACATAAAATATGTAAGAGGCTCAAAGAATGAAGAACAAAGCCAAACATTTTTAAATGGTGTAAAGAATAAGAGAAGAGCTCTCCTCTTTCCTTCCTTTTTCTTTTTTTAAAACATACTTTAGATTTTGGTTTGTTTGTCTGTTTGTTTGTTTTTTTGAGACAGGGTTTCTCTGTGTGGCGGTAGCTGTTCTGGACTCATTTAGACCAGGCTGGCCTTGAACTCGCAGATCCACCTGCCTCTGCCTCCCAGTGCTGGGATCAAAGGCGTGGGCCACCATGCCCAGCTATATTTATTATTTTATGTGCATCAGTGTTTGGCCTGTGTGGTTGTTTTCACGCCATGCATATGCCTGAAGCCTGGGGAGTCAGAAGACGGCGTTGGATTCTTAGACACTGGTGTTATGAATGGTTGTGGACCACCGCCTGGGTGCCAGGAAGCAAATCTGGGTCCTTAGCAGCAGTAGCAAGTGCTGAGCCATCACTTGGCCTGTTTTCTTTTTGTTTTGAGATAGCAGACATCTTTAATTCCATGACTTGGGAGACAGAGGCAAGCAAATCTTTGTGAGTTTAAGGCCAGCCTGGTCTACATAGAGAGTTCCAAGACAGCCAGGGCTACTCAGAGATCCTGTCTCTAAGAAATAAAACTAAAACAAAAAGAATTTTTCTAGCCATACACTGTGGGATTTGCTCTAACCCCAATAATATTCAAGAAGCCAAAGCAGGACTAAATATTCCAGACTGGCTGGACTACACAGACTACATACAGACTTCATCTAGAAAACTAAAAGCAACTGTGGCTGGAGAGGCAGCCCAGCAGACTTGTTGCTGATGCACGAGACCTAGGTTCAGTTTTCACCACCCATGTCAAGTGGCTCACAACAGCTGTGACTCCAGCTCAAAGGCATCTGACTCTTCCTCTGGCCTCTGCCAGCACAGTCACCTACATATGCACACACATGTACAATAGATAGATGGATGGATGGATGGATAGATAGATAGATAGATAGATAGATAGATAGATAGATAGATAGATA